TTGCTACAACTTTAAAAGCACAACTATAATGACGTGGGAAAATACCCGAACAAAGCTGAATACCATACATGTAAGTACCCACGAAAACTTAAGAAAACAAATATATATATATATAATCACAGTTTTAATTTTTTGTCAGAGTTTATATTCCAGACTGCCACATTTGACAGTAGGAAAGGAACAGAGAATAGGTAATGTAAATGAAGGATGATCCTGAAAAAAAAAATCAGCAACATAGTACAGGTAGTCCTTGCTCAACAACTAGTTGCTTAGCAGCTAAAAGTTACAAGAACCTTTACAACTTACAACCTGTTTTTGAAGTTGTGATGGTTGCATTCCCTCTTCTGCATTGGGTGCTTGGCAACCGGTTGGCATTTATGGCCATTTGCAGCATTTTTGGTCATGTGACTGTAATTTTTGGTCTTTCTTGCCAGTTTCTGGTGTTTACTTTTGTTTTCCAGCAAAAAAATGCCCATTTGTGAAAACTGATTTATTTAACTGCAAAAAAGGTGCTTAGAGTTTGTGGAGATCTGGATGGAGGAGGACAGGCTTCAACTTAATTCTGGAAAAACTGACTGGCTCTAGGTTTTAAGGCCCTCAGTCCTGGAGATTTCCCATCTTTAGTTTTGAAGGAGGACAAACGTCTCCATTCAGAATTGGTGTGCAACTTGGGTGGTTTTCCTACTCTCACAGATTTTATTCAAAAGCAGGGGGTAGCCACACTAGGTGGGCTTTTACACATCTAGTACACCTGTTGCATCTTTCCCTGGACCAGGAAGCCTGGCTCATGGTGAATCATATCTTAGCTATCTCCCATTTAAATTAGAAAAATGCCCTCTACATTGAGCTGAGCATTCAGAAGCTTCAGGTGGTCCAGAATACTAGTGTGTGCCCACACACCAGCATTCTGGACCATCTGAAGTTTCTGACCACTCTTGATATTCTCATAGAACGTGTAGCTTCATGAGTGCACTGGCTCCCAGTAGGTTTCCAGATGATTACCATTTATTCTATTCTATATGGCATAAGAGCAGGCTATTTCTGGGACCATCTTTCCTCCATTCTCTAAGCTTAACAGGAAGACCATGTTTCAGAACCCCTCCATTCAATAATGCCATCATGGATCTGGCAGTTGTGCCTTCTCTATAGCTGAACCCACTGAGATCCAGAGGGCCCCAACCGTGCTATAGCCTTTCATAAATCTCTGAAGACTTATCTTGTTTCTCCACACTTTTAGGACAGGCAGATAGGTCAGCTTTGTGAATACTATGATTTTGTTCTGGGGGTTGTTTAACTGGGGCACCATTTTATACGATTATGATGGTTTTTAATCTTTGTACACCTGCCAGATTCAGTGTTGTAAGATGGATGGCAATATAAATAATTTAAATAAATAATGAAGCAAATTTTTATCAGATGGGTATATGCAATCTTAAACACCACGTGCAATGCTAATGATCAGCCCTGCTTATTTCCTTTTTTTTGCAGTAGCTTCCTTAGCAGGTTCAGTTGGAAGTAATCCTACTGCAAAACAATTGCAGCTTTCATAGATTTACTAGGATAAAGGTCTACAGCAGCACATGATCAAATAACAAATAAATAGCATTCAGAGAGAAATTCCATAAAATCATGGAAGCAATTGTTATCACAAGAAGCCTTAAAAAATGTAAAAAAATAATAGTGCTCCAGATAAAATGGCTCAAATAGAAAAGATTTTAAGATGGTGGCTAAAAAAAAGGGGAGGACGCTACAAATATGAGACCCATAGCCAAGAAGATTCTTTTTCCATTGTCTTCTTAATTTCAAATGGGAATAGATTTGGAGAAGACCTGTTGATCATGCCTGAATGTTTGTCAGATTCATACAGCAGACAGCAGTAATTCATCCAGCAGATCCCAAATTCTTTGAGTTTTATAGGCCTGACCAGTAACTGAATGGAACAAAAACCAAACGTTCTATTTAAAAATATCACTGTTGCGGTTCCAGTCTAGCAATGGCCATTGGCGCTACCAAAAGTAAGTGACAAATGTTTAATGATGTCAGTTAAAATTAATTTTAGTCATCTTGTTAAAAAATTATTAGAGCAACAGGTTTTCTATGACCAGGAGAAGACAGAGACTTCATTGGCAAAATGTCTGGATGTCACAAGGGCAGCTAAGCTCTCCAATGATTGAACTAATCCTTTAAGCTGGGACTCTTTCCTTTACGCATGGAATCCTGAACCCCAACTACTTCTCCCATTAGACCAAATGAAAACCAAACAGCCCAGTTGAATGTTAGATAAGTATAGACAGTGAACTGGGACCAAACACCCTACTTTCACTGCTCCAGGAATTGATTTCATTGCATCTAAACTGTACAGCTCTCCAAAACACAGTATTGCCTTGCTGGTTGTCCTTCAGCAATCATCCTGGGGAGGTGAATTGTACATTGGATCAGTGGTGGGATTCAATTTTTTTTTACTATAGGTTCTATGGGCATGGCTTGGTGGGCGTGATGCGGTTTGGTGGGTGTAGCTTGGTGGACGTGGCAGGGGAAGGTTACTGCAAAATCCCCTCCCTCTCCCCATCCCACTAACCTGCTTACCAGCTCCATTCTCCTGCGCAGGGCAACAAAAGAAGACCCAGCCAATCAGCTGGGACTTGGGAGACAGAGAATAGGTGTGGGGGTGGGGCCAGTCAGAGATGGTATTTGTTGTTTCTCCAAATTACTTAAAATTTCTGCTACCAATTCTCCAGAACTAGTCATAACCTGCTGCATAGCTCTCCAAAGCACAGTATTGCTTTGCTGGTTGTCCTTCAGTCATCACCCTGGGGAGGTGAATTGTTCATTGGCTGCCATGATCACCCATTACTAAGGCACTACTTAATGGCACAGGGAAAACATCCAAGGAAGGGTCTGAATAGTGTGGTAGAGACTATTGGAGCAACAGGTGTAGGGAGAGAGCTGGATAGTGCTCCTGTTTCAAATATTATTCCTTCACCTAACTCAGCTGGCTGTTTCTAACAAGAGCACATGATAAATATCCTATTTTTATTTTACCACTTTGCTAACGAGAAGATTCTTCCTTGATCCGAAAAGCATTCCGCATTCTAGCTGTGGTTCAAAATTTCAGAAGAGATAAAGCAAGCTTTTAATCTTGGAACATACTGTATTAAAATAAATTACAATTACAAGATGCAATTGTTCCAATCAAGTTTATAAGAGATTGTGATCTGGACTGATCTCTCAACCCAATATTTTTCTGTTGCTTAATTTGACATCATAAAAACAAAACAAGGTATAGCTTTCCCAACACAACTTCCATAAAAATATGTGAACATATAAAACAATTCCAGTGTAAACCAAACAATAATCAAATCAAACTAAAGACCAGCAGGGTTTTCTAAAGATCTTTCAGAGGCATTTCAGATCAACAACACCAAAACTTTATTAGGAATAAGCTGCTGAGAAAATTGTTTTTTTAAAATACTTGTTTGAAAGTCTATACATAAAGCAGATACAAGAGAACTTCATAATTGAGAAGGCCCAGTCTATAATGACTATCGGTCTATTTGATTTTGATGGTAGATCTCTGGATAGGACCTCTGAGACTGTTTTGAATATAGATGAAGGAAGTCCTTAAAGCAAAGTCTGGCTACACTTTTTAAAGCTTAAATTTGATTACCAGTCATTAAATTGGGCTAAAAATATACAAATGATCAACTCAGGTTTACAGTATGGTACTGTATTATGTATCCATACCACGAAAATATTACGAGTACCTCCATAGTACATCAGCAGAAATTTCTGAATAATCCTCAAGTAGCACTGCAGAAGGCATATTAATCTTACCGTCAGCAGATTAATTAAATCCATATTTGGCTCCAGATGGTGGGTTGCAGTCTGCAGGGCTACCAGCTCACTCAAAGTGACTGAAAGCTGCTGCATTTTCACAAGGTTGACTTTGTCCTCATTGATCCAGTCTGGAAAAACTACATGAACTGCTATTAGATCCTTCAAGTGGACTCCTAAGATGGGGATTTTGAAGTTGACACAGTCTGCAAATGTTTTGCGGTAGTTGCAGTAGTTTCCATTGGAAGAGACCAGTTCAGTCATTTCATCCCAATCCTGCAAAGGAGGCAAGAACCAGCAAGAATCAGCAAGAACATTCTTGGTTTTGTTTTGATTAAGAGGGAATTTAGAAAAATTACACCGGAGACTAGAAATCTACCTTTTTTTGTAAAGGGAATCATTATCCAATTGCAAAAATAAGCCAGATGATTGATTCCTGTATATATTTGATGAAGAGCCATAGTTCTATGTATGAATACATAAACTGCTTTTAAAAAATCCAAGTTTAGAAAACTTTACATTTTTTTAAAAAAAAGACATCCCCTATGATCCTGGTAATATCCTGCCAGTAATTAAATCAGATGGACCAATGGTTGATTCATATGATTCAGGATAAGAATTATTTCATTATTTCGTATTTTCAATCTCCCTTACTTCAGTGGAAAAAAAGTATATGATATTTAAAAAATCATTTGTAGTGGTACATTTTTCTCTATGTAGAAATGAAATGTGAATTTACTCTCACACCTTGGTAACTTCTGAAGAAAGATAAGAATGAGTTTCTTTCAGACGTGAAATAGAACTGTGACTTAGGCCTCCTACAACAGCCATCAGTGTATTGAAATTTTGAAGCTGAAGAAGTTTCTGTGGAGAGATTCAAACATTTTTGTTAAAAGGTTATATTATTCATTATTCATCTGAACCAAACTTGGGAACTTCAATTGAAGATGTGTGGACTTCAATACTCAGAATTCCCTGGCAATTATTAAAATTCTCAGCCTTGGGAAACCCTGATCTAGACCAAATGTATGGTTTCAGAACAGAAGAATCTAAATAAATTACCTCCATATGGTGAAATCACACAATTTTATTGTAATGGGATACGAGACCAATGGGATTGTGACTGAGGAGTGTTATTTCAAAACCAAATGTCAAAATTTATGTGTTAAAATGTCATTCAGCAGTTTATATTTGAAATTTGAGTACAGATAGAGATGTCAATAAATCCATAAATTAAAAATATTTTTAATAAAGATAATGATTAAAAACGAAAGAAAAATTCCATTACAAGCTTAAATATTGTTTGGAATTTATTTATTTCAAGAGTCAAGTCCATAACTCTAATATATTTATAGACAGTAATAAAGTTAGATCTACTGACCAAATTTTTCACACTGAATCAATATCATTTATAAATGTTCCCGTTACACATATTCATAGGAATTTGCTTATAAACCACAATGATGAAAAAAAGAAGTAATGTAGAAATGTATGTGGCAACATCACGATGCACTCTTCACCTTTTGGTACTTGTGTCCTGATATTGAACACAAGTGTAGAAGTCACACTTTTGTTCCTTTGTTCCCTTTGTTGAAGAGACTGGTGTGCACAATTTATTAGAAAGTTTTTTTTTTATGTCTTTACACTTTTCATTTGGAACCTGATTGATAAGCACAATGATTTACACCCCTTGCTCTTGTGACATTCTACCTGTGACATTTGTGGAACTGCTACGTGAAACGTCTACTAGCAGGGCCACCCATAAATCAATCAAAAGGGTATTGCAAGATGATGATCTAGAGCAGAGCTGTCAAACTCCCAGCCCATGGGCCAGATGTATCATGCACTGGCCATACCCACGGCCAGTATAGTGAAGGGGAAAAAAGTCCTGATGTGTCACGTGATGCTGCCGAACAGCATGAGTTTGTCACCCCTGATCTAGAGTAAACTCCCATCATCAGAAAGATTCCAGATAGATCCTCAGATTCAATCCTTTCTCATTTTGGAACATGATAAGATTGGTCTGCAGTGAGGAAAGTAGCTTGTACGATACACATAAAAGTACACTCAGCACATTTCTGAAAAATGGTTCACCCTCTCTTTTTATATAGTCTTTTTTTTAATCATCAGGTAACATAGTGAAGATCATCAAGACCAGAATTAAATGTATGCTTTGCCTTTTATTGATTTTTCCCAATGGCATCCAATAACAATATTCTACTGCTCTTATTTTTAGTATTATTTTTAGAGAAGTTGGCACGTCACAAAACAAAGCAACAATATATGACTTCATCTTCTAGAAAATGGTGGGCAGTGGTTGCCCAGTGCTTTGCTTGGACATTTGCCAACCGCCCTCAAAAGAATAAAAATAAGCAGAGATAAAGAGAATATCCTATTGGATACGATCCTAGACAGGTGTCAAATAGCTTTCTGAAAATTGATGCTTTGTTTATTTATAAAATTTATATGCCACCCATCTCACTATTGAAGCAACTCTGGGCCGCTTACAAAATGAACCTTATAAACCTAACATTTTGTAACAGGGTAAATCCTGCCTAGCAGCCAATTTTTTGACAGGGCCTACAACATGTTTTTGAAATTCCATATATATATATGCCCAATAGCCTCCAAGTGTTAGGGATTTCTCCTCTAAGAGAGTAAATTAAATATGAAATAGTTTAAAACATTAAATTTACAGATACTTTTTAAACCTGCATTTTATTCCATTTTATTCCACGGGATTAAATCAGGCTCCAACAAGCATAAAATTACCTGTGCAACATTGATGAATTTTGTGATAACTTCTGCTCTTTGTTGAGGAGTTGGTTTGCTCAGAACCATCAATTGGACCCACTTTGAGATGCCATTAAATAAAGCAATTGATCTTTCCAGAGTCGGATTGTTCTCCAGGCAACCATGGATCACATAACTCTGATAATCTGTAAACTAGTTAAAGGGAGGAGTTTCACTCTCATGTGCTTATCTCAAATCATATTAATGCATTCCCAAGATGGTGCCCTCCAGTTTTTCTTGGAAAGCAAATCCAAGAATTCCCATATTTGCTACAAAAGCTCTATTTCTTAGATGCCCTCATCCAAAGGAAAATATTTTGAGTGTGTGCAGTTTAATTATTGTTAATGTAATAATAATCATTGTCATGATTAAATATTGACCCTCTTTCACTCATATTTTTTCCAGCAGTATTCAGAACTTGATTTCAGAAGCAGTTCTATATAGTGGGATAATTAGCAAGCTAAACTTATTTGCATATGTTTTGCATGTAATCTGGTAACTGCAAAGATGATTCCAAACATACTCATACTTGGATGTATGAAATAAACATCCAGAGTTAAACATTCTTTATTTCAGCTGCTGATAATAAATTGATGAAGGATGTATTGCTAATGATTATACTTTCTTTGGATGAGAACATGTTGGATTTTTGGAGTATCTTTTATAATATTGGCTTTACTTACAAACTTAGAGACAAAGCATAAGTGGAATCAGATTGACAGTTTTGCAAAATGTAAGCTTTTACAGATTACACTGGTAGTTTAATTCAAATTTTGTAAGAATCTGTCATCTGTTTGCCCCATGGTTGTTGTTTTCCATACAGAAGCTGCTAAACACATCAGCTCACCCAGTAGCCATTTACCATTTAGGAATGGTTAGTAAATAATCATTCACAGAGCAAACGAGAAGCGCTATTAAGAAATATTCTGTCCTAGGAAGGCAAATCCATAAAAAATGCCTCTGTCTTAAATAGACAGGAACTCTCAATAGTATTTATGGCATCCTAATTGATAATCAATGGTACAAAAATTAATTTGTTCTGCTTAAAAAGATTCTGTTTGATTTGGTTAATAATTTATCCCTGATACTTCATACATGCAATGAAGAAATTATCTCTTGATGCTACAGTAAACAGGTAGTAAGAATGCATGCATGAATTAGCATTGGGACTTGATATAACATTTAACGGAACCTTCGTCATAAGGTCAGATTCATAGTTATGAGCACTTTTTGCCATGAATTCAAAGTAGTATGAGAAATTATAAAATTCTTACAGAGATCCTTCGGAAAGATTTATACTCCAAAAAAGTGAGATGCTCTGCTAATTCAATGGGTTCCAAATGATCAAATAATAGGCAAGCTTTTCCTTTCTTGGATGTTTTTTTCCTCTGTGTGATTCTTCTCATCCAATCATAAGAGGGTCTGTTAAAAAAAGAAAGAACATAGAGCCTGATTTGATCTGATGCCCCAGAAGAAAACAATGGCCATTGTCAAGCCATATAAAGAAGAAGACTTCCATGTTCTTTTTTGATGTAAAGTCAGATAGAAGACTTTAAAATCTTCATATACTATAAGGATAGTTGAGATAGTGTGCTGAGACAAGTAGAGATAGTCCTCAACTTACAACAGTTCCTTTAGTGACCATTCAAAGTTACAATGGCACTGAAAAAGTGACTTATGACTCAATTGTCACACTTAAACCATTGCAAGATCCCCATTGCTATATGGTCAAAATTCAGATGCTTGGCAGCTGATTCATATTTATGACATTTGCAGTGCCTTGGGGTCATGTGATCAGATTCTTTATTTTTATTTTATTTTGTCAATTGCTTACAAGATAATAGGTATAAGTATAGACATAGTTATAAATTCATGAAATGGGTACATATAAGAAAAATAAAAAGAAGCAAAATTCTGCAACCTTCTGACAAGGAAAATCAATGGGGAAGCCAGATTCACTTAACAACTGTGTTACTAACTTAACAACTGCAGTAATTCACTTAACAACTGTGGAAAAAAGGTCATAAAATGGGGCAAAATTCACTTAACAAATGTTTCACTTAGCAACAGAACTTTTTGGGCTGAATTGTGGTAGTAAGTTGAGGACTACTTGTATAAAATATAAGCCGAGGTCTGTGGATCAAAGCAAAAGTACAACTGATCTAGCAAAGGCTACCCAGCCAAGTGCTTCTAGGAAATATAAAAATAAACCATTAATGTAACAGTCCTTTTTCTATTTCCAGAAGCAATTATTTAGATTGCTATTACTTCTGGAATGGGAGACCCCCTCTGTTCACTGTTATTAGCCTTGGTTTTTCTTTCTTTCTTACAAGGATATCTCAAAACAATTCCATAACCCACAATCATAGAAAACTAACCTCAGGCATGCTGGTTTGGAATGATGGAAGTTAATATCCAAAGCATTAAGAGAGTATATCATCTTAAAGGCTAAAGGCTCACTTACTCTTATCAGGATAGATGATTTCTATATATGTTTTCCAAGTTTTTTCCCCAGAAACATTTTTCAAGACTGTGAAATCAGTCTGGAACGTGAGATAATTATATTGATCTAGTGTGTGCTGCCTCAAAATACTATATATTTTGAAATCTTTATAGAGCAATCTTTCATATTGGGTGAACATTAACAATATGTACAAAAATTAAACAGAGGGACACAGAGAGGCATTTTAGTGTAGTCAGTACTTAGGATCTAGAACTGTGAACGGCAACATTTAACAGTAGAGTCACGATCTAATTAATACCTTAGACACTTGATATTTTTTTAAAAAAATGGGAGTTGTTTCCAAGACTGGGAAAAGTATACCTCACATTCTGAGGTTATACTGCAGTATCTTCTGCACATCTGGGGACGTGTTGCCTGAAAAGTTCTCCTTTTTTTCTTTTCAGGACTTTGATATGACTATAGAAGGCTAGCCATATACTTTATTATCAGGACTGATAACTGCCAATCCATTAGACTATTACAGGGGTGTCAAACTCAAGGCCTGGAGGCCAGATCAGGCCTGAGGGGTGCTTAGATTTTGACCCGTGGGGCTGGCCTGCAAACAGCGAAGGCCCGACCTGCAGTGCCTCTGCCAACAAAAATGGAGCTGCATGCGGCCCTCCCAAGGGCCATTTTTGCTGGCAGAAGGTTTCAGGAGGCCATTGCAGCCAAAAATGGAACTCCTGAGGTCCAAGGGTGGCACTCCCAAGCTCTCTTTTTGCTGGCAGAGGGTTGCAGGAGGCTGTCACAGCTGAAAACAGAACTCGCAAGGGTTGTGGCTCACAAGGTGGCACTCCCAAGCTCTGTCTTCGCTGGCAGAGGGTTTCAGAAGGCCATCATAGCCGAAAACAGAGCTCAGGAGCCTGTTTTTCGCTGGCAGAGCACTCAGGAGCCCATGAGCATGCACATGGCCAGGGTGGGTGTGGTCAGCTCAACATTACTGACCACACCTACCCTGGCCACACCTACCCTGGCCCCACAAGATCAAACACAACCTTGATGTGCCCCTCAATGAAATAGAGTTTGACACCCCTGGACTATTAGGAAAGCACTATACTTCTGAGGAATATAGTAACAATTCCTAAAATTTAATTGCATCACTGCAATTGCATCAATTGGGAATAAAACCTACCTACAGCCATAATGTCAATTCATTCTTTAAAGTAGCATTTCAATCTTGTTATATCTATATAACATAAAATAACTTGTTTGTTTTGAAAATTATACATAGTATACTATATATAATTATATATGTCCCATACACACACACACACACACACACACATTCCAAACAAAATATTTTATGTTATATAGATTGATAATAATAACTCATACTCTCTTTCCACTTATCTAAAGAGGCAGCTATTACATAATTCTTCATCATTACTAATAGTTTTACATGACTGATATTATTACTTTGGTAGTTAGCATTTGATGTGAAGATTATTAAACCTTTCATATAACATAATAAAACAGGGCATTCAAATATGTCACACCAATTCATTTTTGCTTCTTTAGAATGCTGTTGAGAATCCTAGTTTAATAATGGTACTTCACAAGTGATAATCCTTACATGCTAGAAATGTCAATAAGGTGTATATGTTCTTCATAACCTAGATGGCAAGCTAATTCTTGAAACTCCTCAATCAGATGAACCAAACCAAGATCCAGATTAAATTCTGCAGGAAATTCCAAAATCCAGTACCTGAAATTGTTAACCCAAGAATTAATGATATATCAGCCATGGATTTCTTACACTATGTATTAACAAAATTCACAACCAGAAAAGATCATACTTTTAATCAAATATATCAGCTGGGTATATTGTCTGGGCATGGATCCAATTGCATTACTATGTGGTCTCTCAATCAGTGAATGTTTTCTACTCCACGAACAGCAGTTCCATAAATATTAAATACTCAGTTTTAGACATTTTCTCTGTCTAACAGAGAAATATATATAATAATTCTTCTATAAACCCCCAAAAGAATTCCCTTGCAAAAGAGTTCTACTCTCAACTCTAGGGTACTATTTAATCACCCTAGAGTGGTGATGATAAACCTATAGCATATGTATCACAGGTGATATGCCATGTCATTTTTACTGATACACCAGGCCTTTGGACCCTCTGGAAGTCAGATGAAAGGGCCAGTGGTGGGATTCAAATTTTTTTACTACCAGTTCTGTGGGTGTGGCTTGGTGGACATGGCTCAGGGGTGTGATTCAACCAGTGTAACAACTGGTTTGATGAGCATGCGTCTTGCATGCATGCACAGAGGGTTTGCTACTGATCTTCTCCTGCAATCCTGCAATCTCCCCAGAGGTGGTATTTAGCAGGTTCTGACCAGTTCTGGAGAACTGGTAGCGGAAATTTTGAGTAGTTCGGAGAACCGGCAAATACTACCTCTGACTGGTCCCGCCCTCATCTCTTCTCTGCCTCCTGAGTCGCCCTGCACAGAAGAACAGAGCTGGAAAGCAGGTTAGCGGGGTGGGGAGGGAATGGGGATTTTGCAGTATCCTTGCCTTGCCTTGCCATGCCCACCAAGCCACACCACACCTAGCAAGCCATGCCCACAGAACCAATAGTAAAATTTTTTGAATCCCACCACTGAATCTCCCTGTGTGTTAAACAGCTGACGCGTGGCAATCCGCTGTGCTGCGCAAAGCAGCTGAGCTTGAAATCCAGGAAATAAAGGTCAGAGTAGAGCAGGGGCGGGAGGATGGGTGGGACCAGCAGCTGATCATCAGAGCAAACTGGTTCACTCACAGATGATCCTTGGAGCTACCGGTTGAGCCAAACTGGGCTGAACTGGTAGAATACCACCACTGGAGAGGGCTCTGCTCTCATGGAGCCTCTGAGGTCTCTACATACACTGTAAGAATCAATGTGATTTTCTGCTCTTTTTGGACAGTTGCAAGGCCATGCAAGAGCATTCTCCAAAGTAGCCAGCATTGTGCAATCTAGAATTGCCTCAGGTAGGCATTTTGAAAAATATTTACAATTATGTAAGTATTTATCTATTAATAATACATTTAGATAATTTATTGCTCTTCATTTCTCTTTTGTCCAGGGGGTGGGGTGGGGTAGAATGACATGTCACCAGTATTAAGGTTGATATTTTCTGATTTTTTGACACACTGAGCCCAAAAGGTTTGTCATCACTGCCTTAGAGGTTTATACCCAACAAGGACACTAGCTGTCTAAGCACATCTTCTGACTGGCAACAGGTCTTCAAGAGATACGGAAGGATGTCTTTCCAGACCTAGTGGAAATTGGTTATTAAATAAAAGTATGAGGGGATTTGATTCTGGAGCATTCCCTCATGGCTATTCGGAATCACTTAATTTAGCTCCACCAATAGTTTCAATTTAAACTGGGCAGGGGTGTTTCTTCCCCTAAGCCTTGAAAACTACATTTCTAGTTAAATTTAAAATTCCATTTACCTCATAAAGTAACAGATTTTTAAGTGGATTTCACTGCAGTTTTCTCCATTGGCATTTCTATATGTAAATTAGTTAAAGAGGTTTTTAAAAAAATTCTTTGGTTTTCTTAATTTGCTTAAAAAGAGCATTTTGATTAAGCTACTACAGTTGCATCATTTAATTGTAATTGAATCGGATACTTAATATTTCTTTTAGGCTTCTCTCCTTAAATATAATATCCAAACAATATTAGAAAGGTAGGATGTAAATATGTTTAACTAAAAAAGTTCAGCACATTATTACATTATTACAAAGATTATAATAGAAACTTAAAGCTATATTAAATGTAGTACAATATGAATAGGGATAAAATACTGCAATACAATACTATACTATATATTTCTATGTAATTCACAAGAATTATGTTTGCAAGTCACAAGGTATCCATAACTTATACAAGGCTTAATTTTCCACCACGGTCACTTTGAAGAAACTGGATACAATCTCAGCAGGGGTGGGATTCTACCAGTTCGCATCTTTTCGCTAGAACCGGTTGTTAACATTCTAAGCAGTTTGGAGAACCGGTTGTGAGAAGAAATTACTGGCCTAATCCTGTAAGGAAGGCAGGAAGGAAACATTCTGGTGTTGCTTACAGAAACTGCCTCTCCGTTAACCCTTATTACATTCTTGGCAGGACTAGACTTCCTGTCTCAGGAACTTCTCTGGAGTTTTTTTCCCTCCTTTGCTGGTACTTTGCTTGTGTGGAGTGACCATTCAAAGTTACAATGGCACTGAAAAAAGTGACATGACCATTTTTCACTCTTACGACTGTTGCAGCATCCCCACAGTCATGAGAGGCCAAGCGAGGAGATGTGTGCCTTGATGTGAGTGATACTGAGTTGGACATGCTCACCAAGTCACGTCCACCCAGTCATATGACCACCAAGCCATGCCGACCAACTAAGCTATGCCCACAGAACTGGTTGTTAAAAAATTTGAATCCCACTCCTGAATCTCAGGTTATTCATTGCTTAAAACAAAAAATCTACAGTACATTGTTAACAGTGCTGTAGCTTAGCACCTGCTTGTTATCCCAGTTATTTTATTTCAATAAATAGAAACTCCTATAGAAGTTCACTGAAATTCCAGAATAAGTGAAGTCTTATTCCATATGCAATTGCTCCATCTCTGTTCCACAAGAATTAACCATTGTTATTTTTTCCCCAATAATATAGAGGGATTTTAATGAAACTTCTAATGAACTTGAAATGCCAGCTGCCTGCAACCACAAGTACATTTAGAGTTCATGTATCTTCCTCCAAATAAAAATAACTGCTTCTAGATTTTAATTATGTTTGTCAAATGGCTTCACTATCCCCATCAAGTTCTACCTTGAAAGTATTTTGACTACTATTACTGGATAAACTGATGCTTAGAATCCTCAACATAACTCTCTGAAAGGATATAGGGAGAGAAGTTTATTTGCCAGTTCTGTGGATGACAGATACCATCGATGCATTAAAAGAAACGTTCTTGGCAAATTATTGCCGTTCAGCTCCCCTTTGTTGTCTGTAAAAGAACAGATAAATTGAAAACAGAACAGTGAATATGACTGAACGAGAAAAAGCATCCAAATGTTAAATTCCTGTACAAATATTGCTAAATGATTTGTTTCTAAATAGAAACAAAAATAAAAATAAAGTTTTACATTGTGAAATGAAATGAATTTATCAGAAAAGTCCATTCATTTGGCATATAGTACTAGACTAAAAATGTGTACACCAGGCAGTTCTTTGGGGATACATTTCCCCAATCTGGTACCTGCTAGATATATTAAATATTTTTTCCAATGTATGATCAGATGGTATCAAGTGGGCAAAATTACTTTACAGATGTTGTCCTAATTAGGCAATAGCAATTATACTTAGACTTATATGTGACCTCATAGTGCTTTACAGCACTTTCTAGATGGTTTACAACATCAGCATATTTCCCCCAACAGTCTGGGTTCTCTTTCTACTGACCTTGGAAGGATGGAAGGGTACATCAACCCTGAGCTCTGTCAGGGTTGAACTCCAGGCTTGGGTAGAGTTTGCCTGCAGTATTGCATTCTAACCCCTGCATCACCAGGACCATTCTGTCCTATATCCCATCCTATTCATGTACTATTTCTTATAGCTGGCCAGTGAACTGGACAGAGCAATACAAATCTCTCCATAAGAAACTCACTTGAAATTATGATGAAAATAGTTTTTATTGACTGTACTTGGCTGATGAAATTGTGGGCACCAACTTAGCCATTATTTTTGTTATCATAACCTTTTCCCATGACAACCAATATATGGACCGATTTTTCAGACATGGCTGTATCCAGCCAGGCACAAGCAGCATTTTATTAAATCCTTCCACTAATTTTCATTTTGGTCAGTACTGCAATGGAATGCTTTAATTTGGCCAGCCTCAAATAGTTCATAATTTCAGTTTATGGGGAATCTTTGAAACTAACAACTCTGAATTAAAATAATATTAAGATAAAATATAACTATACTACATGAATTAGTCCAAATGTTAAGAATCCAAGCCATTATGAATGCAATGATTAAGAGGAAAGTGTTTAGATGAGATAAAAATATATTTAAGATTTGTACCAAACATTTTAATGCAGGTATTTAATAGTTCATCCAGTGTTGCAGCTTTTCCAAGTGTGTTGGACTCCATTGTCCTTTGATTCTTGTCAAAAAAATGATGACACTTTCACCACCGCAACGAAAAGCAGGAAGGGCCCCATTCAATAACTGTAAGTTGCATTCTCCGTGACACTTCAAAAAACTGTGGAAAGATGATGAGAAAGGAGACATTGACATCAGGGTTTATAATTCAGTTCATCTTTGCAGAAAGTTAACAGAACTGTCCTAAGCTTTGGATTTGATTCCAAAAAGACGGCAGTTTGAATCTAGCCCATATCTCCAAGTCCAAGCAGCTGTGTCTTTTCTTGTTGCTATCCCATGAGCCCAAGATAAGATGCAGCTGCTTTAAAGAGTAACAGATAGCTGCTATGTTTATTTTCCTAGCACCTTTTGGGAATTAAACCTGAACCTGCAGAGTTGCATCTTAGAAACAGTTTATGCAGAGCTTTCATAACTGACAAATGAGTGAGAATCACTTGGGCAATGGCTCCAAAAGAATCCATCCTTCCTGATGAATGGCTTGCCACAAGAATGCAACATTACTCCAATGATCCAAGAATGATCATTACTCAGAATTTTTAATAAAATTATAATAAATGTTATTTAACTCAGCAAGATATAACTGTTGTAAATAGATAATTGTTCCTGCAGTTTGTTCAGACAAAGAAACTGTTGAAATACAAGTACTAACAAGAAAAATATATTTTTCCTGCTCTTTCTTTAAATTTAAAACACAAATAGTTTGAGGGTGAAATCACTGTATTTGTTCATCTGAAATATTTATATTCTATTGAAAAAAGTTGGCAAACAGTTTAATCAGTATAAAGAGAAATTAAGTGAAGTATTGTAAATAATAGCATAGCAAACCCAGTAGTAGATATGAATAAGGCACAATAGCAATAGCACTTAGACTTATATACCGCTTTACAGCTCTCTCTAAGCAGTTTACAGGGTCAGCTTATTGCTCCCAACAATCTGGGTCCTCATTCTACCGACCTCAGAAGGATGGAAGACTGAGTCAACCTTGGGCCACTCAGGATTGAACTACTGGCAGTCAGCAGATTTAGTTGCAATATTGCATTCTTACCACTGTACCACCACAACTCTTATAACGTATAACTGTTGCATTTGCCAAACCTACTTTTGCTATTAAAATTTCAGAATCTCTTTAGAAAAGAAATTGGTAGAGACAAAAAGCACCTATCAATAAAAACAGCAAAAAAACAACAACCCTGAGATAATCATGTTTATGAAGAATAGAGCTATTACATTGATAGAGGTTTGTTTCCATTCAATCAGGATTCATCATCAGATCAGAAGATACCAAGTCCCTCCCCCAAAAGAGGTTATGCTAGGAAACAGGTATCAAGCTACATTGAGCAACTCTGTGCTATATTTAGTGCCTGATCAGCAATTTCAATAAATGACATGCATCTTAATTTATTTACCCAAACCGGTTTTGGAGGGAATATTCACCATGGACTTAGTTCTTTCATTAGAGAGTGGTCTCATATAGGCACTAGCATATGATGATAATAGTATTTCCTTAGCACAATTATGCTTTTTCCATAAGTGAGTTTTAAATTATAAAGATTCTGTTTTACAAATTTGTATTTTGTTGTTATTTGTATCTGCTTAATATGCCAGTTCTGGAAAACTCATGCAGTATATTATAGGGTCTCTCCTCATTTTATCCATATAGCCACTATCTTCCCTTCCAGTGAATTCCATGAGTCTGCTCACACTTCTGGGTCTTCTCACACCATGTTCAGCTCTTAACTATTGCAATCTATGTACGTAATAACCATAGATTACCATCCTCAATCAGGCACCTTCCCAATCAACGTAGCCATTTAGAGTGCATTATAATTCCACATATTTTAATGTAATTAGATGGAGAAGGTTACTGTTGCAGGTAAGATTCATCGGCAATACATGATTGTCATAATGCAAAATTGGAATTGAATTCACATTAGAATTCAGACAAAGCTCTCTTTGAATCACATATTTGAAGACATAAAGACAATTTCTTTTCTGCTCCAACTGTAAACAACTATACCACCTAAACAGAAGTGCCTACTTTTTTTTTCTGTTGAAAATGTTTTTTAGAATTTCTACATTTCTATAAGCCAGGCCAAAGTTAAAGACACTGCTTCTCAAAAGAAAAGCTGGCAACTTCACAGCCAGTAAGATTCAAGATAAGGCTGAATACCTGAACATCAGAATTTTGAAGTTTTGAGCTATAGTATGAAGTCTCAAATCCTTGTACATACTGGGACTTTCTTGGAGGCATAACCTGGGCTCAACATCTTTACTGTACATTCAATGCTTTGCTTGTATTCTAAACTCTAGTTTAGAAAGACCATGCCTTCACTTTTATTTAACCTCCCTGTTAGTGTTTTGTTTCTAGTGCTCTCTTCCCACTAAAATTCACCTGTCCATTTACAGCAATTACATTAACACCTTCCATGAGAATGGAAAATCCATTAATTTGTCTGGGAATTCCTAAATGTGATTTCACACATTCCTGACCCTTGCGGCTATCTGTTGTTCACACACCGATCTCTCTCATAGAATTCCACATTAACTCACAGAATTACTAAGGGGAGTTTACTATATGCTAAACAATACAATTTCACTGACATGAACAGAGAAAATAAGAAGCAATATATAGTCCTATGTTTTCTGTAAAGGCAAAGGTCTTTTAAACCTTGTGTGTGTTTTCACTCTCATTGATCAAAGGGAGAAAAATCAATGATCAGGGTACTAACTTTGAAATTAGAAATAACAAAAAAAAAAATATTCCATTGTTTTTCTCTGGGAAAATCCACTAAACTTTGTTCCTCAGTTTAGAACCTTTTGGACCTCAGGGACCACCAAACTCATAATTTTAAATCCCGTGGACCACTAATATGAATTTTGACTGACGGTGGCTACAGGGAAAAAAATCTGCAGGAGAATTCCCTACCCAGTTTTCCTACCGATCGATCATTATTTGGGATCGCAGGATACCGTCTCCAGCTCTGTTCTCAGGGGAGATGGGGGTGGGGGGAGATGGGGGTGGGGGGAGATTTTTGGCTTCATGCAAGGAAAGCAGCAGAAGCAGCAGAAGTCTTTCTTTCTCTCCCCAAACTCCACCAGAAATTAACCTTTGTCAGCGTAGCCTCTTGGAGCAGGATGCCTTGCAGGGTCCCAAAGACTCATTTCTGGCAGAGTTTGGGGGAGAGAAAGAAAGACTTTTGATGCTTTCCTTGCGTGCAGCCAAAAGCAGAAGAAAGAAGTCGAAAGAAGCAGCCCGGTGGTCAGGCCAGGCGCATGGGGCAAGTTCCGCCGTCTGCCCTTTGCCCCCTCCCCTGACTACCTCATGTTGTTCGCAATGCAAGCGATGTCCGCCTTGTGTTCCTGTGGGCCATACTGCCAATGCTGCCTTGTGTTCCCATGCAGTCTGGATTAATTACTTTGGGGGGGGTGCTTTGGGGGTGACATTTCTCTGCAGACCACCAAAATTTTCTCACAGACCACCAGTGGTCCCCGGCCTACTGGTTGGTGACCATTGGTTTAGAAGAGGGCTATCTATCTCAGTGGTTACTAACGGAGCTGAAAAGCAGGTTAGGAATGTGGTTTGGAGAGAGAGAGAGAGTGTGTGTGAGAGAGAGAGAGAGGGGGGGGGAGAAAACATCACCATCAGTCCTCCGAGGTTAGATCAGATCTCTCCCTCCCCCTCCCTCCCTCCCTCCATCTCCCTCCCCCTCCCTCCCTCCCCTCCCTCCCCTCCCTCTTTCACCAACGTCAGCAAGCCACCCTCAGTCAAAATTCATATTAGTGGTCCGTGGGATTTAAAATTATGAGTTTGGTGGTCCCTGAGGTCCAAAAGGTTGGCGACCCCTGATCTATCTGGTACTGAATATTCTTCCCCCCAAAAAAACTACAACAAAATTCCTATGGGAAAAGTTGTAGATATGGAAGATCTGCTTTGGGAATCTCTTTAGCTAAACGGATTGAAAAATACATGACTGTTTTTCTGTTCCCTTTAAAATTAATCTGGTTTAAGATCCTGATACAAGGAGGGATTTTCATTCTATTTCCCCCAATTTTCTACTGAAAACTATTCCCTTGAAGTATTTTTTTGTGTATACATATGTTCCCCCTAATCCAGGCAATGTATTTCTGAGAGCCTCCTCATCTAGAGCAAGAATAATCCTAATTCAGAATACTCAATTATCAATGGGCAGGCAGAAAATTTTAAAATTTATTGGTGGATTGCTAGCTCTAGACATAGAATGGTTGCTGTTTTGCTACTATTGCAACAGAGAAACATTAGCTGCTGAAAACAAGAAAAAGACAGAAGTAATTTTTGAAAGGTTTTGAATTAATGCAGGAAAATTGTGAGACTATATCACTTGTATCATGGGAAGAAACAGAATGCAGTCAGGTTTCCATACAGCAATGGAAATTCCCACACATAAAATCAAGTACTAGCATTTAAATGATGGGCAATATAATTCCTCCAATTAATTGGGAGAGCTGGATTATTTGTTTTATTTGTATCCAGCCTTTATTATTTTTACAAATAACCCAAGCAGCAAGCATAACCAACACACCTTTCTGCTCCTATTTTCCCCACAGCAACAACCTTCCAGGGTGAGTTCAATTGAGACATAACAACTGGCCTAAGGCCACCCAACTGGCTTTCATGGCTAAAGTGGGACCAGAACTTGCAGTCGCTCACTTTTAAGTTGATGCCTAAACCACTAATCCAAACTACACCTATCAATCTTAGCCACTATACTTAATAATCATGACTGTGGATTCCTTTAGGTTTCCATGACTTCAATTGTAAAATCAACACAAATATCATTCCTGTTCTTCCCTTTTCCAGCATGACATTTCATGCTTTACTTTCATTTTTGCATTCCTGAAATAGTAGTCCAATCACAACTGTCAACCTGGACAAGACAGGAAATCATCTGAGCCTCTACAGCTTGCAGCATCATTATGACTACAGAACTTTAAAGGACCTTGCATCTACTCTTCTGCTATGTGTAGAAAAAGATTATATTTATTTTAAAGCAAAAATGTAGCCGTGGAGATAAGTGCAAATGCCACCCATGATCATAAAACACAGAGAAGACTTATCACAGGTAGGAATTAAATTTGCTGTGTTAACTAGCAGTAATCCTGGTAGGGTGGCTTATTTGCCACATCACCTTCAACTGATCATATCAGCCCCTATAATTCCGGCTCCAAGGGCAACCTTGAATTGTTTCATTGAGTTAAAAAAGAACACCAAGACCCAAAATCCACCCAGGGAGCATCCTATTTCTCACAGTGGCCAATCAGAGGCTCCTAGAAGCTGCCAACAGCCCCAAAGACAATCAACTTTCCTCCTCCCCCCTCAGACTTTTAAGTAAGTTATGCATGTAGTAGACAATAGAGTCCTTATCAAGAAGCAAATTCTAACAGCTAGTAGCAATTAAGGGACTCCTTGCTCTGCTACGAGTAGTTCTCTCCTGGCAATCCCAATAGCTATGCAGATAGGAACAATATTTTTGGAAGCCTTGTCTGGCACCATGATGCATGGTAGCCTTTGTCTGCTGCATTTTTATTAGCCCAAAGTCAGCAATGTGTTTTCCCCAGATAGCTGCCACTGAAAAGTGCTGAGCTGCTTTAAGAAGCTGCTGTTCTAAATTGCTATAGAACAGCTTTAGTGTTCTACAAGGCGCTTGATATCGTGAACCTCTTCGTGACATTGCCAGGAAATAAAAGCCAGCACACCATAAGGACTGCATTGTTTTGTACCTTGTTTTGTGGGAGGAAGAATTGTACAAGGTACAGCTTCTCCGGCAAGAGCAACACGACAACAGCAGCTACAGCAGCTGTGAGTATTCCCTCTTTAAAGAGGCAGCATCCCCCATTCTAAACCGCACATGGCCAGGCAAGCCATACCCTTGAAAAGCAATTACAATTATTTATTTTTCTTTCACTGAAGCAAAATAAGCCAGGTCCGTGTATTAATTAAGGGTCTTGCAGAAAAGATTGTTTGTGGAACTAGATCCATGACAGAACAAGCTAGAGTTCAACTTTTACGAGAGAAGCTACAAGAGAAAAAGTAGTATTCCTGGCTTTAAAAAAAATGCAAACACATTCCCAACCCAAGGACAACAGGGAAAATCACTTACTGTACTCAGTTTTGCAGAGGTATTCAACACAAACATCTCCCTTCTTTGTCCAGCTGCCAAGTGTGAAAGCAAAAACGAGCAGCTGTTTCCTTCACGCTGGGGCTGTGTCTCTTACTTAACTTAGTCACATGCACCCTTTGATAAATCTCTTGGTTGTGCCAAGAGGTCAGACTCCAACAATCACTCTTCTACCCCCATTTAAACAACAAACCATTTCTTTTCTTAACATCAATCTCAGCATGTGAGTAGAACCTGTGCTACAACTCAAAATTATAATTTCAACTCAGCCTTTACAAACCATAAACGTTCAATATAAAACAGATAAGGTTGCTTAGCTAAAGGCAGGACCAACTATGATAGAAAATAAAAACATTGCATTGTAGCTTAACCTGCGCATTTTATTTTTCCATCTGGTATTACATCCTACATCAATTGCTCAATTTGTGGACAGATTTCAGCAACACCTTACTAATTACTTGATTGGTGTGTGTGGGGGAATTCCTTTAATCAAGGCTCTTTTTATAGCCCAAGGAGCACCTTCATTATAATACATTTCAATTTAGTTTGTTTTTAATAGCTAAAATTAAAACATATTGTCATTTAGCACAAAACTTACATATTTAAATACACTAAAAAAATCAGTCTCCCTCTCCAAAGTTTCTACCCCAACAAAACACAAATTTGGAACTAACCCATTTTTGGTGACATCACTGTCAATCTTTGTCCTGCCAGGAGATTTTTAAAACTTCTTTTTAAAAAGTCTGTGTGGCCTTAGCTGTAACCATTGTTCTGTTCCCTGAGGCCTTAGAAACTGGGCTCTGCAGGATTTTATATAGTTGTGCCCTTGAACTAGAATTTTAAAACAATCACTTTTAATTCTGGGAGATGTGTTTTAGGTATTCATTGAAATGTTCTTTCATGGAACATGCAAATTTTGTACAGGTTAGCTTTCCTCTAATTAAAGTTAGTTTTCCATTATTACTGGAACACTTGTTTTTGCATGTATAATATGGTAAGATGTCTTAACCTTTCAACTGTATCTTAAAAAGAAAGTGGAGTCTGCAAAAAGCCACCGATTCAATTCATAGATTAAATGGCAGGTGATTAATTAAGTAAATATTCATAGAGCCTATGAGGATTAAAAAGGTCCACCCCCCACTCATTAGAGAACTGAGGTCAAAATCAAAGAAAGAATGATGGCCATGAGCTTTTTTGCAGCTGATTGCACTTCCCACTGAAAAACAACTACAATCTTTGATTCAGGCTTTATGTGACAATTTTGCACGTTCTCTACCTCTTATGATGGGGAATCAGCTATAAATGATGCTAGGGGAAATGGGCTCTCTGGACCCACCTCATTTAGGCTCCAGACCTGGTCATGGAGTAGAAATAGCACTGGTTGCTCTGGTATGTGATTTTTTTTACTGGGACTTAGATGAGGGAATGCAGCCTTTGTGATCCTTTTAGATTTTCCAGTAGTGCTTTAAGTCCTTTTAGATTTCTCAGTGGTGTTCAATACCATCAACTATGATATCCTACTATAGGATATAAGAGACAAAATTATTATTGGCCAGTAAATAACATGGCTTTCTTGTTTCTTTCCCTTCTGCCCTTCACTTAGGCACATATGGATGAAATGGATTGGATAACCATTTGTCTGAAGTGGTGTAGGGTTTCCCGCCTAGGCAGTGGGTTGGACTTGAAGACCTTCAATGTCCCTTCCAACTCTGTTATTCTAGTAAATGTTCAGGTTTTTTTTTAACAACCAATAGATCATGGTACAGAAAGAGATAAAATATTGGAAGCTCTACTCTGCCCCAGCAATTTATTTGGCCACAACTTACCACTCACATATTTTTCTGCTTCACCGCTATATTCTCCTTGGAAGACAGCCAAGTCACCCCCTTTTACTGCCTCCAAGCCTGGTCCCATTAGAAGCCAGAAGAGTATAGGGCAGTGATGGTGAAACTTTTGGGCACCGAGTACCCAAAGAGTGTGCACACGCATACCCAAAATGCAACGCATGTGTGCCCTGTGCATTCACGCATGCCACATGCATGCACCACACACACACGCACCCCCGTGCATGCACTCCACCTCCCACGCATGCGCCCCACCCTCCCCATGCACAACAGAGAACCAAAGACCAGCTGGCCAGCAGGGGGCAGACATGCATGCATGGCAGAGCTGCACTGGGGTGACGGCGCATGTGCCCACAGAGAGGGCTCTACGTGCCACCTGTGGCATGCGTGCCATAGGTTTGCCACCACTGGTATAGGGTTACCAGTTCTGAGGTACAACAATCCAAGGGACATCATGTGGCAGCTAAAGGTTTCAGAACATGTGATCCTTTGCTGCCATCCAATGGTTGATTGGAGTTTTGTAATCCAGGATGGAGCAGGGCAAAAGGTGAGTCCTAGAGACTAGAGGAACACTGGGGAGAAGAGATTAAAAAAATCCAGGCTATCCAGCAGAATTCTGGATATCTGAGCACTGTAATTATTTGGTAACTGAGAAGTGTGATATGATACTCATAATACACTGGCCTCACTTCATGTATTGTAAAATACAGGTAGTCCTCGACTTACAACAGTTCATCTAGTGACCATTCAAAGTTACAACGGCACTGAAAAAAGTGACTTATGACCATTTTTCATGCTCAAACCATCGTTCCTATGGTCATGTGATCAAAATTCAGATGCTTGTCAACCAGTTTCATATCTATGATGGTTGCATATGGGGTCATATGATCCCCCTTTGTGACTTCTGACCAGCAAAGTCAATGGGGAAGCCAGATTCACTTAACAACCAGGTTACTAATTTAACAACTGCAGTGATTCACTTAACAATTGTGGCAAGAAAAGTAATAAAATGGGGCAAAACTCACCTAACAACTTTCTCACTTAGCAACATAAATTTTGGACTCAATTGTGGTCATATGTCGAGGAGTACCTGTAATAATAAAGGAAAACTGTTGTAAAACTACCTTAGAATCTTGAAGTCTTTAGGAAAAAATGACAAAAAAGATACCTAAGCTTCCCCTATATTTATCATGTCAGATATAGACACTTCCCTGAATGCCAGCTGAATAAGGCTTCTCCAACACATAGGTAAGAAAAATGGAATCTTCTTCTGAATTAAATCGTGTAAAAAAAAAAGCTTAGGGAAAAAAGGAACAAAGATTGCAACTGTATTTACAGGTTAGAACAGCTAAAGAAGCTCAGAAAGCTATAGTATAAACAGACAATGATGGTCCTTTGCACAGAAAATATGATAGATGTTTATTGTCGTTAATAATCTTCCTAACACCGATGCAGATCAATTCAGACATGTTCATATTGTCATTTAAAATGTATTATTATGAGTCCGGGCAAATGCCGTTTTTGAATGGTTTCACTTCCTGATTTGGAGTGAGAAAAGATAGCCCTTTTCCACAAGTGTTCATAGAAAAATCTGCATTTTGAATATGGAGCCTTTACAGGTCTGATATTTAGAGGGAAAAAAAAATGGTCTTCAGCATTTTGGTTTCCATTTCCTTTTTCCTTTCTGAAATCTGCTTTATGTATTGTGGTTTCAAAATGTGCTATTATTTCATTCTGTTTCTTAGATTTGCTTACTTTCTGCCAGAAGCATGGAAACCTAGGTTACTTTTGTTAAATTGAACAAATGCCTAAAATAAGTAAGATTGCTTTTCCAATTACTTTGATATGAGACAATTGTGTCCATGCAAACAGATTAGATGAGAAGCTAGTTGGCATCACAATGCTACCACCATTGCCTCATTAATCAGTCTGAAATCTTAGTGAAAACATGGACAAATCCATGAAGTTTTCTTGGTAATATCAGAAGTGGCTTGCCATTGCTTCCTTCCTTGGGCTAAGAGAGAGTGACTGTCCCATAGTCACCCAACTATCTTTGTGCCTAATGTAGGACCAAAACACAGTTTCTCACTTTCTAGACTACTATATGAAATGGATTTTCTATATAACAGTGCCATCACATAATTTAACAATGAATTTTTATTGGCAGAGGTCCCCACAAATGCCACCCCCCCTAATCTCTTAACCTGGTCTTGCCCAAATCAGGCTTGCAGCAGTATTTGGTACTTTGAGTTTATATTTCCAAATCTAGAAAATTTCAAGATACTTCAGAAAGCTTATCTTCAGGCTAACAACAAAAATAATGGAATGTATTTCTCTACTACTACTAGTATTCTTCAGAAGTAATTGTGCACCTGACTTTGTTTAATGAACAAATTTCTTCATGAAACATATCTGTGCTTGATAAATTGCACCCACCCGTCTCTCCCTTCCAGCTGAACATTTACCATGGTGACTTCTTAGGATATTTTATTTTTTTATTCCCCTTCAAAAAATACAAAAGACACATAGGTGCTGATAGATAACACCTGAAAATCATCAGTTGGACAATGCCTTTATCAAGATCAACATGCATGCCACAAAATAGACTATAGGCTTTCAAATTTTCCCTCAGGCCTGAAGATAAAAATCAAGAAGAAAAAAAAACAAAGAAGGAAGAAGAGGAAAACAATATTGAAGTGGAAAATCAGGTTTGATTTCTACAGTTATAAATTGTACAATTAAGCTGAATTTGGAAAATGCTAGATGCCATAAGAATCAGATTTACCCTGATATTTTTTTTCCTCCAAAGGATCCATGATGCAGAATATTTTGTATATTTTTAAGGCAAAATTAACATCTATAACATCTACAGACACACATTCTGCTCTTCTCCATTGTTAGCCTTAGTCACACTGAAGATGTTAAGAACTCTCAGGTGGGTTGGTGAAAAAAGTGTCCCAACCATCATTTCCCCAAGCTGAGAAGAATTGGAGAGGCAAAGCAACAATGTGGGATGAAGGCAGAAAAATGTACCTTTATAGAGGGTAGTCTTCTACATGGAAGACTTGGAAGGGCTACGTAACCTTTTACATATTAAGTTCCACCAGTAGGAAGAACAGCAGAGGTAAGTCAGGCACAAGCCAAGCATTTATCTGATCCCTGGGTCTCAGTTTTCATTGCTTTAGTAAGGTGTATTGCATTTTTATTTATAGACATTACTTCTAAGTACAAGGCTACCAGATCTGGGTTACAAAGATAGCAGCAAATAGTTACCATTTCCTGATGTTTGCAGCCTAGA